TAACTTTTTGTGACAATGCTGAAAAAAACATTTTTAAAAAGCTGAGGCTTATTGCCTTCTTTACAGTATAGTGGCTTTATTTTTATAACTACTGATGTGATTATAATGCCTAGTTTGTTATTATTATTATTACTAGTCCTCTTCCTCTCCCTTTCTCCTTCTCCTTGATTCCTCTGCTCCCTTCTCACTCTGCTCAAACTTTTTTGTGTTAGTGGTGCTAGGGATTCAATCCAGGGCCTCATGCTTGGAAGACAAGGGTTCCACCATGGAWCCATATCCCAAGCTCTGGTTATATTATTTATACATATACTTAGTAACCCTAAATAAGTAATAATTCAGCCAAAGWATAATAACCTCATATCATTTTCATAATCTGTATATCTATTATCTACTACATATTTGCAAATGGTAGGTAAACATACAAAACATCTAAATTTTAGCAAATTCTTTGCAATGTTCTTAAAAATCAGATGAGGGAAATATTTGGTATGATGTTAATAATAACTGGTGAATAAACAAATGTATGTATTATAATGATCCCTAAAGCATATCAGATAATGGGTACTTTGTAGCATTCTRAAGTTCACATTTTGATTAGTGAGGAGAAAAGCAACAAAACTCTTTGATTAATTCCTTAATTTTGGATGGATCTCTGTTAACTTTTTCTGAATTTGGTGACATGAAATTAATTGAGTTGTGTTTCATTTTTAAAATTACTGTGAAAATTTTTATTGAAATTGATGAGTGGTGAATGAATTCAGAGAAACTGTAGCCTTCTGAGTGCTTATATTCTGACCTGGAAAAMCACATTTATCATTGTCTCACATTGACTGAGGGTTAACTTCACTATCATCCTGCAGTTTCAGTTTATTAATACAGGTTAAAAAAAAAGACAGAGAAAATGAGCAAATTAAAATCTGGGGATCATTTTTCAAAGCTTATATATTTATTCAGACTTATTTTTCTTGAAATTGTATGGAAGTCTATTTAAACATAAAAAAATACACATCTTTACCAAGATGTCCTTTTAAAACAAAAAAGCAACCTAAAAGTACACATGGATTAGTACATATTTACTGATATATTTTGAAATGTCAGTTTTCTAGCCTAAGTTTTCAAGCCTAAATTCTATAATTCTCTTTTAAAAATATCAGGTTAAAGAAGCAATTAAAAAGTGAAATACAAATGACTCTTAAGATCATACCAAGGAAAAAGGAAACAATGTCTAAACTCATTTAAAGAATGTGCAAATAGCTTTAAGAACCATATTCCTAAAGTTGTTATTGTTCATGATGCACGTTAAGTGCACAGAACATTTGCCTTGATGACAGTTTTATTCTCAGCATAGTATATGGCAAAAGGGTTTCTGTTCAATTGACTTTCTCATAAAAAGTTTAATTCCCTCTTCATTTTATCATAGGTTAGAGCTTGAGTTATTTTTTTTAATCCAGCTTACATGTACACACTGCATAAGTAAATTTTGTTTTGTTTGACAGACTGACCTGGTGTCAGAGTGAGAGGAAATAGTGCTTGCTGTAAGTGCTGATGTGAATTGCAGGGGTTAGGAATCCTTTCAGAAACGACTTTGAGGTGAAATTCTCTTGTCACAAAAAATACATAGCTAGGCAGCATATAAGAATGGAATGTTTTATATTATGTTGAATATTGTCACAAAGTATTTGATGCCACAGTATTCTATATCATATTGTACCCAGGTATTTCATGATCACTCAAATATGAATGGAAATTAATTCRAAAAATATTATGTCCCAGCTGCATTATATGTTTTATGTAAATCTACAAATCATAAATCACTAAAGAAAATGCTTATTAAATTCATGTATACATTTAAAAGTCAATAATGGCCAATGCTGTAATTGATAGGCATTTTAGCATGTAACGTAAATAGCAGGAAGAAGATTTATGAATATAGGTTACATATATAATATTTCATTATACAGATAGATGCTTTAAACCTGGAGTTAAAATCTTAAAACAATGAATCACTACTTATGGGTATATAATCTATTTAAATAATTTTACATATAAATACAAAACATATGTCTGATAAATTCAATATAGGAAACAAATAGGACTTACCTTAAATTGCAAATAAGTAATGGATGATACAGATTTTACCTTCTTTAAACAGTTTTAAGTGTTTTCTAATATTTTTTCCAGTACCTTTCACTAGTTGTTTTTAAATTTTGGGATAATTATAGATGTATATGCATTTTTAAGAAATAATACACATTCCATGAACCCTTGGACAAGTTTCTTCCAATGATAATATTTGCAACATTATAGTACTATATTACAAGCAGAATATTGACTTTGGTTCTATCCATTTTATTTACATTCATTTGTATGTTTGTGTTTGTGTGTTTAATTCTATTCAATTTTACCACACAGATCCATCCCAGTGGTCAAAACAATAGTCAAGAGAATATAGATGAATAAATATCTGGTAATATTATTAAAGTAGATTTTATTGAATCTTAAGGTACCAGCAATTTTTTTAATGTGGGTATCAACAAACTTTCTGGAGATCAATTAAAAATTACTTAGGCTTTATGTGCCAAAATAAATTGATTACAACTACAGTATTGAACTATCCTTTTGCAAAACTACTAAACAAATGGATGTGGCTTTGTTCCAGTACAGTTTTATTAAAAACAAAATAGCTCATAACATGATTTGGCTCTTTTTCTTGACCTTCCATTTAAGGTTTTTACAGTCTTTTTTAGTCATGAAGTAGCAATTTTTTTTTCTATTTGGCTTGTTTTCATTTGTTTTGTTTTTTCTATTGAAAAACTATGTAATTAAATACAAGGTTTTGTAGTTCTYGAATTTAAAGATTTTTCTTTTTCAATTGGACCATTATGGGAAGCAACAAGTGAAGTTCCATAATCACAAAATTAATTTTAGTCATCACAACAATCCTAGGATTTCAGTTATACAGAATGCTCTACATCATAAACTTGGTAAAATACATACTAATAASACAGTTAATTCACTTTGTTCTATAGTTTTTACTTCTCTTCTGCTGAAGTAAAGTTATTTTATGAGTTAACTATTTTTTAGGCAAATAATCAAAACAAAGAGAAAATCCATGGCTTCTGAGAACTGCTAAACTTTGATAAATTAATCAGATAATATAAATCACATTTATATTATCTATGATGAGATAATAATACTATCTATGATGAGAATGCATATTAAAGAAATACAGATCTAATAAATATGCTTAATATATGTCTGAAGTAAAAAATGTTTCAAATACTTTTTTTATGAAGGAGMCTTATGAGAAAGATAATCTATCTTACATCATCTCTTTCAAGCTGATTTAGATATATTGAGTGACCTCATGCTTACTGTATCCTTCTGTAAAACTCTTAGCATACTGCATTGTTTTCCAAGATGATATTTAATATCATATGTGTCTGTATAATGGAGGTCATCAGGTAAACAAAACATTAACTTGAAATGATTCTGAGTTAACATATTACATTATTATATTATTATATTATYATATATCATTTRCTGATTTTATATCACATTTCAAAACAGTAATATAATTTCCACTGTACCATCTGAGGTCAAAATCACAGAAAAATATTTTTCTATGAACACCAAAGTACAATGTTAATAGAACCAATTTAAGATTTTTAAGTTTTTGTAAAATAGACTTTATCCAAAAGGGTAATGAACAAAGACTAAAGTTGTTGCTATTGATTTGGCAAAAGAAGTGAATGTAGTATGATGACATTTTCTATATGCACATTTAAGTTGCACAAAGAATACTATGTGCTTTCTTATGTTTGACTCCTAGTTACCATACTAAGGTGTACTATATCATGTATTATTTGAAAAGTCTTATCATTTTTTAACCTTTATTTTACTTATTTATTTGTATGTGGTACTGAGGATCAAACCCAGGGCCTCACCTGTTCGAGGCAAGCTATCCACCAATGAGCTATAACCCTAGCCCTAATCATATCATTTTTATTACCTTAAAATTCATAGTCTATTCTACCATGATCAAAAAAAAAAGAAAAAAACCCAAAGTAGTGTTTATTTTATCTTAACAAATGTGTAATGAAGTGCAATAGCATATTTCAGCCATAAATTTTAGTTAAGAATAAAAGTATCACATAATCTTTCAACGCAGGCACATTCTGAAAAACTGGAACTTATAACCAACCAAAGATTAGGAATCAAGTTGACCATTACAATTTTTAGAAGGAGGAAGTTCTTTACATTTAATTCTAAAATTTCATTCTGGATCATAATTATTAGCATAAAATATTTTCTCCAGAATAAAATAAAACAAACAATGAATTTCTTTATAAGTAAATAAATGTTAAATATATTTGATGATTTATTATATAGCATGTTAAAATAACATATCAAATTACTAATTTAGAAATATCTTTCAATAAAACGATAATTTCAATAAATACTAATCCCTAAAATTTTTAACTATTGTCATCTCAGTTTCACTAATTGAGTTTAGTATGATTTCTTCATACTTATTTTAGTGGGAAATTGCAGATTCCATAAAATTTGAATTATTTGGTACAAACTGAAAGTATCACTTTTAATGAGGGAAAAAAATGAGATGTTATCACAGCATGGCTTGGCATTCATTATTCCCTCAATTCCACTCCAGGTGCTTTTCATTGGGTGGATTTAACTGTAGACTGAATTGGCCACCTTGGGTCCCTAACATAACTCCATGATTGGGAAGCCATATGGTGCAATGCTGAAAGCTATATTAAATTGTGAGTCATATTTTGGCCAGCTTTATTCTCATAATTTAGTATCAGAACTGTTTCCATGTAAATTTCTACACACTGCTGCTTATCAGCATAATTAAGCTAACTTTTTCTTTTCCCTATTTATATCTTGCTGATATAAAAACATACTAGAGTTTAAGCAAAAGTGACTTGTAGAGGCTAGGAAAGAAATAGGTGAACTTAAGGTTCACCGGTATTTACCTTTAAAGAAGCAGTCTTCATTGTGAACAATGGTAATCTTTTGCTTTTTCAGGCAAGCAGCTCTGTGTACCTCACAGTGGTTTTCATAGAATTCTCCATCAGATCCACACACAGGTTTGTAGTGCCGTTTGCAAAGGTCCATGCAGGCACATTCTGCTTGCCCTGTCTGTCTGCTGATCACACAGTGCCTTCCCAAGCCACAGTACTTATTTTCACAAGATCCAAAAGGGCCATCCTGAATCAGAAATCCTAAAGATAAAGAATAGAAAACCATTAGTTTCCTATGTTCAAATAATCTGTGCATTTCAATGTATCAAAAAGAAAATGTGTTCCAATATAATTTCAATATTATCTGTTGCACTGTAGTTTCAAAGAGGCTTATATCAAAACACAGAGATGAACTTTTACAAAATGCTCTCAGCCTTCCTTCACACCTCCTTTGCTTGAACCCTGTTCCCTCTTCTCAGAGTACCATCATGTGTAAAGCTTTAAACTATCTCCCTACATGATGGCACCATAATGATTAACAGATTCTGATCAAGATTAAAATACAATCTCACAACCTGTCAATCTCAGGATGTTGGTGGGCACCTAACACATCTGTCACTCACTTTCCTGTAAAATAGGGATAATAAGAATGTATTGTATTGTTATGAGGATTAAAGGCCTTGGTGTGTGTGTGTGTGTGTATGTGTGTGTGTGTGTGTGTATGTGTGTGTGTGTGTGTATATATATATATATATACATATATTTCTATTTAGTGTTAATGTCATTTCCTCTTTCAGAAAATAATTTTTATAATACAAACATGAAGGGAAACATTTTTTTCACCTTTATTTCTTTATTTAGTTTTATGTGGTGCTGAGTATTGAACCCAGTCTCACACATGCACGTCAAGTGCTCTACCACTGAGCTACAACCCCAGGACCAAAAAACAAATTTTGAAGATCAGCTTTAGTTTCATTTTTACAAATGAAGCCCACACATTAAATTTATTTTCATATTGATACATGCATGTACTCCCAAATAAGTTTTTATTGCACATCTAATTTCACAAAACAGTGGCTGTAGAATATCTGCATATTCACAAAAGCACAATTTGATCAAACTACTCACTAATACCCGCCATTCCTACCTTCCTCTCCCCCTATAATCTTTTCCCTTTCAGCTAATGGCCCCTCATTTACTTTCACGGTGATCCCGTTTCCCTCTGTTCTTTTTCCCTGTGGCTTCCACATATGAGGGAAAACATGATAATTTTCTGAGTCTAACTTATTTCACTCAAAATTATAATCTCCAGTCCCATGCATTTTCTTGCAAATGGCATAATTTTGTTTTTCTATATAGCTGAATAAAACTCTATTGTGTATATACACCATATATTCTTTATCTACTCATTTGTAGGCTGATTTTATAACTTGGATATTGTGAATTTTGCTCAATAAACACAGGTATGTATGTATCTATAAAGTGTGTTGACTATAATTCTTCTGGATAAATATCAGGAAGAGGTGTATCATATCATAAGTATACTTTTAACTTTTTTAAGGAACCTCCCATACCAATTTTTATATAATATGTTGAATTAAATTATATCCCCACCAAAAGTGTAAAAGGGTTTGTTTTGCCTAGCACTCTCTCAAATATTTATTCTTAATTTTTTCTTTTATATTTTTATGGTACTATGGAGCCCTTTTTATTTTATTTTTGAGACAKGATCTTGATAAGTTCTAAGTTTCTTGCTAAATTAMRGAGGCTGGCCTTCAACTTTCAATCCTCCTGCTTCAGCTCCGGAGTGGTTCAGAGCATAGGGGTATGCCACTGAACCTGGTGGGAATTTGTAGTGTTGATGCTTTCTATTTACACTGGAGTAAGTTATCATGAGATTTTTATCTTTGATTCTACCTATGTGGTGTATTACTTTTATTTATTTGTGAATATTAAATGATTCTTGTATTCCAGGAATAAAACCAACAAGATCATGGTATATGGCCTTARTGTATGGTTGAATTCAATTTGCTATTTTTATTGAGCATGCTTGCAGCTATGTTCATCAATGATTTTTGGTCTGTAATTTTCTTTCATTGAAGGATAATTATCCAGTTTTGGTATCACAGTGATAAACACTTCATTGAATCTCTTCTGAAGTTTTCTCTCCCTATCAATTTTCCAGAATAAATTGATGAGTACTTGTATGAGTTYTTCTTTATATATCTGATAAATTTTGCTATGAAACCATCTGATCCTTCATTACAGGTCTGTTAAGGTTTTCTGTATCATCTTAGATCAGTTTTGGTAGCTTGTATGTGCCTAGAAATTTGCCCATTTTTTCTATATTTAATAATTTATTAAAATATCCCATTAGTGATTATTTTATTATTTTGAGTTGTGTTACTCTTTCTTTTGTTAGTATGGATAAAAGGTTTCAATTATTATTTATTTTTTCAAAGAACCAACTCTTTGCTTCATTTATCCTTTGTATTATTCATTTGTTTCTATTTTTTTAATTTAAGGTTATAATTTTTAAAACTTCTTTCTTTTACTAGGTTTTGAATTGGTTTGTTTTTGCTTTTGCAAGATCTTATGATCTACCACTAGGCTGTTTGTTTGAGATTCATTCATTCTTTCTTTGCTTCTTTCTTTTTCTCTTTCTTTCTCTCTTTCTTTCTTTCATATAGGCACTCACAGATCTAAAGTTCTCTCTTAGAATTGCCTTCCCTGTTCCCAGATATTCTGGAATGATGTGTTTCCATTTCCATTTGATTCTAAGAGTTTTTAAATTGCTCTTAATTTCTTCAATGTTCTACTTATTGATCAAAGGTGTGTTGTTCAGTCTCTATGTATTTATACAATTTCAGTAGTTTTGTTGTTGATGTTCATTTCTAATTTATTTACATTGTGGTTGAAAATAATGCAAGATATTTTGTATCTTCTAATAGTTGTTTTATGAACTAATCTTATGATCAATTTGTAGTAATGCCCAGGAGAAAATGAAAAGAATGTTTATTTAGTTGTTATTGGATAAAATATTCTGTAGATGTCTKTTAAGTCTAAYTGATCTATTGTGTAGATTAAATTTGATGTGTCTTTGTTGACTTTTTACCTGGATGATCTGTTAATGATATTGGTATACAGAAGTGTTACATTGGGTTTTATCAATCCATCTATATCTAGTAATATTTGTTTTATATAATTTAGTGCACCAACATTTGGAGTATAAACATCTACATCTTTTTGTTGGATTGTTCTCTACCAATATTGAACAATTTTCTTTGTCCCTTCTTACAATTTTTTCAACTATTTTTTACCTTCATTTTATTTGCTTATTCATTTATTTATTTTTTTATGTGGTGCTGAGGATCAAACACAGTGTCTCATACATGCAAGGCAAGGACAATACCACAGAGTCACAACCTCAGCCCTTATTCTTACTAATTTGAGTTCAAATTATGCTTTACTGATATGAAAGTGATTCATCCTATTTGTTTTTGGATTCTATTTGCAGGGCATGTCATTTTCTTTTCTCTTACATTGTGTTTGTGAATGTCTTTGCTTTGAGGTATATTTCTTGGAAACAACTAACAATTGATTTTGGATTTTGAAAATCCAATCTGCTAATTTAGATTTTTTAATTGGAAAATTAAGACCATTTACATTCAGTGTTATTATATATAGGTATGTTATTTCCTGCCATTTTGTTGTATCTACATTTTTTGAAGAAGTCCKAGTTCTTATTTGCTTAATTATTCTTCTAATTTGATTTATTCTTTACCATGGTCTCTCTTAAGTATTTTTATCTTTCTCTTTAGTGTACATGATTTCTTTCAGTATACTTTGCAGTGCTGGCTTTGTTTTCATGAATTCCTTTGGATTATGTTTATTTTGAAAGGGTTTTATTCCTTCTTTGATTCTTAAGGATAACTTTATTGGGTACAGTAAATGAGGTTGGCAACTATTTCTTTTAGGACTTGAAATAGATTATTTTGTGCCTTCTGGACTTTTAGAGCTCTGTTAAGAAATCTACTGTCATTCACATTGATGTGCTTTGATAAGTGAGTTGGCAATTCTCTCAAAATTTCTGCTCGTATTTTAAAAAAAAAAATCTCTTTATTGAAATTTTCTTTTATATTCTCCACTTTCTTCCTTAGTCTATTTCTTACTTCTTATTTTAGTTCATTTGTAATTTTAAAAATTAACTTTTTAAATTCATTTTACATTATTTCCTCTACTTTGATATTCCTGGGTTTAGTTATTGGAGTATTAAGGATGTTTGGATGTGTCTTATGACATTGTWTTTTCATGTTTCCTATATTTCTATGTTGATATTTGCATACCTGTTAGGATGGCTATATCCTTTATTATTTTGTGATGTTCTTTTATGAGCTGCTGTTTTCTTTACTATGTGCACCAGACTGAAGATATATCTCTATGTCAAAACACTCAACATGATTCTGGTRCTATGATTAATTCCCAGAATTATCACAGTTAGAGGAGATAATAATAATCACTAACTGCAACCACTTCAGAATAAATAGCATAAAAACAAACCATAAAAAACTTATTGTTAATCTTTACCACTCTCAAGTCTGAAATTGAAAAGGAAGTAATGCTTTAGAGAGGGCTGGAAAATTAGGTATTAAAGGAAGTACAATAACTGTTAAAATATATAGTACATAAAAAGAAATAAAAAAGAAGTGTCAAGGAAAAAGTTGTAGGGGRCAAGAGAAAAAAGTAGATAATGCAGGAAGAAAAAAAGGCAAAACAGGAGAGAGCCTAAAAGTGAGCCTAAGRAAAAAAAGAAAAGAAAAATCCAATTAATTTATTAAGACATTAAAAATGCATAAAATTGGAATAGTATATGCAGTATCAAATGATGGGCAAAACTGCCAAATCAACACAGAAGAAAATACCAGTTTAAATATATATATATCACTACTTTTAAACTATTTCTTGCTGAACTTTTAAACTATTCCTTGCTGTACYATTTGGAATGTAGAGATGTATTTTTTATTGAGTATTCCATATTTGCAATACACCAGGTTTTGCAATACACAGTAAATACTCATATCTCCTTAGTTTGTTTTCTGTGTTTCTCTGGGTATGCAGATAGCAACCACACCAGCCATTTCCAAGCTGGATTGGAGAGCTRTATATTTAAGTTCTGTCCCCTAGGTTAGCTTGCTATTTCAGAAACTGTGCTGAACTTGTGTCTTAACATCTAMGCAGGTTAAGTTCCCTGGTGAGAATCTACGTTGCTCTTGTCATTTCTTGGTGTGTCCAGGATCCTAAGAGTGATTTTGAGGGTCAAAGGAAATGCCCTAATTATCTGAGGTCTATCAATCAAATCTCTCCCTAGTTGGTAAGAAGTCTTTTGTGGCTGCCTATAAAATTTCTGGGAAGAACTATGAAGACATATGTGAGCCTGTCTGGGTAGATTTCGGGTTGCAGAGTGTATGACAATCCACAATAGASACATGCCAGTCAGGCTGAACAGGCACAAGGCATTTTATAATTGGAGTATATGGTGATGGCCTACAGCAGGGGCACTTCATATGATCCTGTGTCTGGGACGTTCAGCTAGTGCACATGTTGGAGCATTAGCTGGGTCATGAAATAATGGCTCACAGCAGAGGCATGAAACATTATTATGAAACAGTGTCCCACATCAGAATTGTGCTCTACTACCAAGGTGCCACACTCTTCCTCTCAGTATTCTACTTTCTGGTCTGCTCTATCCTAGTACTATTGTCAGTGGTTAGGGACATGGCGAAAGCTTGTTACAGCAGTTACAGCAGTCTCATTACACAGACTACTCAGAGGGTATACTTCAGAGAAATTCCCCAAACTCTTTTCTGTTTTCTATTCCAGCAACACAAATTTCCAAGTACCTCCAAGTCTCTGATAGTATAATATTTTGTTCCGTCTATTCTCTCGGTCACCCTCCTCTCTAATATGCTATTATTTCACTGCTTTAATTCAAAAGTGTTGAGAAATTGAGATTTGTTACCTACCTCTACTCCAACATCTCGATCTCTCTCCAAATCAAATTTAAATTAGCAAAATTAAAATTACATGGGAAAGGCCAACATCATTTGTAGCATGGTTTTTAAAAAAGCAAATTTAAAGTGAAAATCAGAATAATTCTAGAAAACATTTTTTAAAWATTTGCATTTTTAATATAATATTCTATTTTTTGTGAAGCATTCCATAAAATTTGAAATAAAAATATAATTTATTGAATACCTTTATTATTATTTTAATTAACTAATAATACCTCATTTAAATGTGTAATAAATTTGGAAAAACATAATTAAATCRGTAGTCCCTGAACCTTGGCATGAATTAGAATAGTGAAAAGATGTTAACAAAACACCAATCAACACACCCCAACCTAGAGTTTCTTATCAGTCAGATCTGTGGTGCAGTCCAGAGTGTATATTTCCAACATGGCCCTAGGTGATAGAGATACTGCTACTTCTGGTACCACATTTTAGGGCCACTGATAATTATAAATTATAATCTTAATTTTTAACCAAAATAAACAGAAGACTAAGAAAAAGACTAGCTAAATAATTATGAAATGCTTTTAAGTGGCAAAGATAAAAAAAAAACAATGCTGTGATCAAAACAAGCATAATAATGCAAATCTTTGGAAGTCTTAGGAAAAAGGTATAGAAAAATTACCACAGTGATTAATTTTATTGATATGGTATAGAACAAGTTTTTATTTGGTTCCCTTTAACTTTGTAAAGTTCAATATGTTAAATTAAATTAGCAGGGGGCCAATAACCTGAGATTGTCTCCATACTTCATGAGCCTAAGTAACAAAATGCAACCTAATTTGGTACATGAATTAGCCAAAACCAAATCATGAGTACATTTTTTTGAAACAAATGTTAGATTTCAGCCAATTATATACAGGCAAGCTTCAGCAAATCAGAAACACCCAACAGATCAAACTATGTCCAATTAAGACAAATGCATCCTAATATCATGCCCAAATAAAATACATTTCTCACTGTAGCCAATCAAAGAATCTCTCTACCTTGTTTTTGCAGTTGGCCTATGAAAACTCATTGCTGCTAGTRTGGTGGAACACCCCTGTAATTCCAGCAGCTCCAGACGCTGACACAGGAGAATGGCAAGTTCAAACCAGTTTTAGCAATTTAGCCAGGCCCTAAGCAACTTAGGGAGACCCTATTTCAAAATTTTAATGAAAAAAAAGGGGGGCTGGGGGTGTGGGTAAGTGGTTAATCAACCCTGGGTTCAATTCCTGGTTTTAAAAAAAAATCATCATTAATATTGATAGACCAAACTCTCTGAACATCATTTTGAGTGCAGCCCAATTCATGGATTGTTCTTTGCCCAAATAATAAAGAATGCATTTAATTGGACTTAAATTTTTCTTTTATCAATTATACTACATAAAAAAGGAAGGTCCAAAATTTCTAGGCAACTCTGACTAGAATATAAGAATTGATTTGAATGTACAAAATATTTTTTTTTGTTCTTAAAGCAGTACTTCAGCAAATTGTCAATGTAATGTTTACAGAATCAAAAATGCTACTGCCATTTAAACACAGAAATTTGACTCACARATATTTTCTATAATTGTATTTCTTACATTTCTTATTATTTTAAAGAAACAGGTTAATATTTGCCAAGAGAGTGTTTTATTTTTTCTCTTATTATGAAGGAATAAACTCAGATTTATTGAGAGAATCTGGTCATTTTACATTTTAGTCAGAAATTAAGGTAGCTTTCTGAATCAGTACAGTTTCCCTGACTTTGTAGAAATGCTCTACTATAAATTCTATATCATCCACTATTTCTATGTTGGTGTGAATTTTTCATTTTTTTAAAATTTTTCTTCTCTTAAATTCTTCCTTAAAAATCCTGTACTCTAGTTGAGAGGTCTGTATTAAGATATTGGTTATAATGTAGAAGTTAATTAAGAATTTTACATAAGCTAGAAGCTGTGTGTTGCATATAGCTGCTACAATTAAAGGAAATTTAATTAATTCATATTCCACCAAAAAGAAATCTCATATTATGTAAATGAATAGCTAGAACATATCCTTTCTGACACTAATTAACCATGACTAATGCTGAACTTAAGTTTCAGCTGAGATTAAATCAATTTAATCTGATCAACATGTCAAAGATTTTTTTTAAAGTACATTCAGTCAGATAGCATACTAAATGAATTTTAATCAAGAACTTATAGTCTGCCATYTTACAGCTTGATAAAATAGCATTTTTTTCCAAAAATGGGCTATGCATTTAATAAGTACATCAGCTTAAAATTTCTGTGCCTTCCAAGCATTACAAAAATTGCTCAAACCAATTTCAAACAAAGCTGAAACATTAAGTGATTAAAAGCATAAAATCAAAAAGTAAAATAATTCTACATTATTCTAAAGATGGTCTTTACAAATTCTCAGTCACAAAGCAATTGTCTTTAAAGCATATCTATATTTATATCTGTCATCTAAATCTATGTATATAGAAGATAAATTTGATCAGGTACTTAACATTCAGTGGATCTAAATGGAAGTAAACTGTTAAAAATAAAACTGTTTTAATGGGTAAGGTGCTATATTAGTTGCTATGGGATACATAAAAAGAGAGGTCTTTGACAACTTCTTCAARAGGCTTGCAAAGGAAATGAGAAAGAACATCAGCATGCCCAAATAGAGAGAGAAGGATGTAGAAGTGTATTTGAGGGCATGAAGTAGATTGATATGAATAACAGCAGGTAAAACCTTGAAGACATTGTATCACATCACAGTTGAGTTTGTTCTCACAGAATGCCAGTTCAGAAGGCTGATTTGTTGATAAAACAACCCTTGGAATAAAGACTGATACTACATTTAGAAGGATAATAGCTGGAAGAAGGAGAAATCAGGTTCTGATTAGCTAACTACCTTTAATTGTTATTGTGGAATATAAACATAATTTAATTTATAGTGTCAAGTTATTTGAGGTGTTCTTTCCTGAAAATGTATTATGTTCAAATATAAAATCTAGGCCGCCCACCCTGCAGTTCCCCTATGCACTGGAGATGATGACCTCCATTGCTGGACATATGAGCGCCATTTCTTGGGACATTTCTTTCTCTGCTGTCCTTAGGCCTCATAAAGAGTGTTTGCCACAGACATGTTAGGACATGCTGGGACTAAGTAAGTTGCTGGCCATAAGGAATAGCAGCCATCTGCATGCTTGCTTAGTCACATCTGGTTGCAATTGATAAGGAGCTGTAAGGGACACTAGCCATAGGCACACTTAACAATGACTGGTTACAATCGATAGGGAGCACAGCTGCATGGATGTGTGCAAAGTACATGTCCTGTTAAGATTACATCATCTCACTGGACAGAAGCAATGGTCATTGACTTAATAAATATAACCACCAATCACCAAGGTACACCCACCAACTTGGAACTATATTTAAATCACTCGTCCTGCCACAACAATGAGCCTGCTCAAAGACATCAGTGAGACTGCCTGCTTTGCTGTCCATCCCCAAATGGATTCCACCATTTCCTGATGTCCAGCACTCTGCTGGAGAGAACCACTGGACAACAACAATGTCTGCTCTTTGGCTAAGAAAAGYCGCATAGCATCAGAGGTATTTGGAGGCTTGAGTAGCCCTAGGGTTGTATGATTTGTGTGTAGTGTTTAATTGCCCTAGGATTGTGTGATTTGCTTGTAGTGTTAATTAGTATGAATTAAATACTAGTTGGGCTTCTCCAGCAACCCAACACTTTTTGCATTAATTGTTTATATGTGATGATTGGTATGATCAAATATACAATTGCATTTAAAGACAATCCACCGCCAAGTAATTATTAATAGTGCTGCTGGCAATAGGCCTGTTGCTTCTATACACTTGACAAACATACAGTATTCTGGYTCTTCTCATACAAAATTGACTTTTAGTACCAGTTCCTCCTACCATGCTCCTGCTGCCACTCAGCACACACCCTTTTTTAAAGGTACAGCTGTTGCCAAAGGAGAGTTCAAAGAGCTAAGCCTTGATGACTTTAATTCACAGAACATTTTAATTATGTACATACTGAACTCCTTCTCTGTCATTTCATCTGCTGTGCTGGCCATAGATTCTAATAATGTGGTATCTTGATTTGTTTGAGGCACTTTCTTTCCTTGTCTTTTCATATTGCTCATGTGTCTTCCTATCTAGCTCTGTGGATCAGAGGCATTACCGCTTCTACCCATAGGCTTATCACGCCTCTGCAGGGTTCCAGTACCTCTTCATTGAGCGGAAGAATAATATTAACAGATCCCAATATAAACAAAATACCACCTAAAAACAAATAGTTGTTATTAAGACATTTACAGTTTGGTCACAAAGTACAGAAATGGCGAATTTAATTACTGTCTACAATATAATCAGTAGGTTTGTAAAAGGGCTTACAGTTTCTGATGGTGGACAAATAACTAGGAGTGAGGTATAGGAAGATATGCTGAGGAGGTATGAGATGAGTATGATATTTTAGGAAGTGTGAAAGAGAAATCTCAAGAAGGTGGTTAGTATCAGGAGAATAGAGATGTAGTAATTTTGGGTAGACAATAAGAGGGATGATAGTAGAATACATAAAACACACACACATATATATATATGAAGAAAAAAATTTTAAAAATGTTAAAATAGTAAAAATTGGAGAGGAAAAACAAAAAAATACGACACTGTAATATACTATTCAATCGTCTCAGTTCTCACTAGCCTAATTTATGCAAAGTGCTTGGTTTCACATATGTTGGGGGATRTGAGGGAGAGAGAATAAAGAGGGAAAAGAATGAAAAAAAATCTCAAAAGAAGAAACAAAGATTGTTTTGATTGGAGATCAATATCTTTCCTACTTCCCTTCTCATCAAATAGGTGGGGTTGTCTGTTCTTAGTTGGCATCTCGACCCTCAGGACGTTCAAGGTTACCAGGGTGTAAAGGTAGGTCTTGAATGCAGGGTCCCGGGAAGTGGGTATGGCACCTGTCTATCCCATTGGGAGATTGCACCTCAAGATCTCCTTTGGGGTCTGCTCCTGTGATGTGGGTGCTGGGTCTTAATCTCATCATCTCATCTGTAGACCTCATAGTTTCTTACCTCTGAATTAGTCTCTAAAATGTTTCTCCCTCACCCTGTCACTTTCTACTTGCTAATCAGGAATCTTTCTCTCCATGGGTCTTGTGTGTTGCATTCTGGTGGCTGTGCACCTGTTGTGGAGGGCCATTTTGAATTGTGGAGGGCAGTCASTCTGCCAAGTTAGCATCTGCTGGGGCTTGGGGGGAATTAGAAAACTATGGGTACCTGGCTATCTACTGTTCCAAACTGGTAGTTGCCCCAACTAAAGATGGTGATAGAGATTGAGGCAGCTGCTTTCAGTGATGAGGTGTCCWTTCGGATGGGGGCAACCACGTGATGGCATTGTGCAATGTGTTCAGAGATGAGCTCTGTGACATGAGTGTTGTGGCTCTTGGCTTTCTTCAGAGCCTGTGATGCCCCTACGGCAGGTTAAGGAACTTCGGCAGTAGCTGCAGAGTCTCAAGATGGAGGTGACCTRGGGAGCCCCAAGTTGGTAGATGGGGGTCCATACAGGAGTAATAGCTGGAGTTCCTGTGCGAGGGTGGAGGCTGAGTGTCCTTGGTAGGAGCAGCATCTGGGAATTCTGCACCCATGCTGATGCCAATGGTCCCACTAAGGAACCCAGGAGACCTGCCTGGGTGAGTAGTCAGTAATTGGGAGTCCTTTTCTAATGCTGAGGTCTGGGGCCTCACACAGCATGGAGGCCGTGATTCCTGCGCAGGATCAGCTGTGGAGGGTCCTCTATCACTGTCGGCAAAGCATTATTCCCCCTAGTCGAGACCTGGGTAACAGAGCTACAMAGAATGCTACCTTCTTCTGACTCAACACCTTGCTTGGATCCAGCCCAGCCTTGATGACTTTAACAGGAAATACTTGGTGCTTTTCTTCTACCCTGTGGAATTCACCTTCCTGTGCCCTACAGAAGTCTTTGCTTTCAGTGTCAAAGCCAATGAGTTTCACAATGTGAACTGTGAAGTGGTTGCAGTTTCTGTGTACTCCCACCTGAGCCACCTTGCCTTGATGGATATGCAGCGGAAGCTCTACTGTTTGTGCCATATGAACATTGCACTCTTTTCGGATTTAACCAAACAAATTTCTTGAGACTACAGTGTGCTTTTTGAAAGTGCTGGKCTTGCACTCAGAGGTCTATTCATAATTGACTCCCATGGAGTCATCAAGCATCTGAGTAACAAAGATCTGCCTGTAGGCCAGAGCATGGAAGAGAACCTCTGTCTAGTGAAGGCATTCCAGTTTGTGGAAACTCATGGAGAAGTCTGCCCAGCAAACTGGACACAAGACTCCCCTATAATCAATACAACTCCAACAGCTTCCAAAGAGTACTTCGAGAAGATAAGTCCACAGATAATCCCCTGTGCCCCTGCAGCTTCTCATGTCAGAAAAGAACTACAGCTGGAAACTTTTAAGCATTTAAAAATAATTATATATAAAAGGCAAGTCTAATTAAGCTTGTATCTATACATTTTACTCTAAATGTTTTGTTTCTGTAACACTGGCTAAGATATTCTAACAGTAATTGCTAATGTCAGGATTCATTAAGAACATCTTGAAGGGTAGGAAGTTTCCATAAAAGGCCTGGTTCTCTGTTTCTTAGATCATATCTTCAGTGTATAAAGGAAATAYAGTTTCTTAGCCTTACTTGAATCTTTGTCTGTACATAAGTAGTATAACAAGCACTGAGAGTCTCTGATCAAAGATCCTGAAAATTTCTTCTTGAATTTCTTCATATTAAACTGCTTTTTAATAAGGAAACATAGATCATAGTTTTACATTATTAATCTCAGCAGTCCAAGTTAACTCTCAAAATGKATGTGTAAGTAATAGAAAGAAATATGAATCACATTACTTAAAAAAATAACAGCAGAGTAAATTAACTGATCATGTACAATCCCTATATTTACCATGTACATAGTTATTTTACTCTTTAGCTGAATTGATATCTAGATTTATTTGTTTTGTTTGTTTATTTTTGTTTTTGTTTTTGGTAGTGCTGGGGATCAAATCCAGCASCTCACGCATGACAGGCAGGTGCTTTACCACTAAGCCACATGCCCAGTGTTATTCCTATATCTATATCCATGAGGTGTAATTGTAAAGGATATATATTGAATTATTAAATTCAGGAATTTTTTTGAAATTATTGTAATTATTTGCTTTCTTGTAGTGCCCAGTGTAAAATGTATCATAATAAATAACATTTGAAAATATTAAAAAAGAGCAAACATAAAATGTGAGTATGTGAACTTCARTATGTTAAAAAGAACAAGAGATTTATAGAACAGATTTAAATCTTTGCCYTATCATTGTATATCTATCTGATATCAGCCAGGCTATGATCTCTTTGAGCCTGATATTCTAGTGGTAAATAAGAGATAACTAACATATTATGTTTAGATTTTATTTTATCAAAATAACCCATTTATTTAAAGATGCTTAATAAAATATCWGATGAAAGGTAATGTCTGGAAGTACACTGAATAAATTTTCTTTAGAAGGCTTACCATGAATGCTTCATCTGCATTATATATGTATAATTATCTAATTTATATATTCTAGAAAAATGGCCTCAGATATATATAATGAGAAGTTATTTTGACTTAGATTTTCTAAAGGTTTTTTTTTCTCCATAAGATGATCTTGTTTCATTTTAGGAGTGTCAGTATGGCAAACACAAATGAAATTTTTGGCAAATTAATTAAAATGTCAGGCCTCAGTTTCCTCAACTAACTAGAATATTACTAGTTCAATATTCTAGAAAAATTTTAGAAAATGGCACTCACACTTTTTTGATAATTATTATTTAAACTTTATTATTTATTATTTAACTTATTTAAATTATTTAAATTATCATTATTATGGACTTAGTACAATATTATCTAGAAATCAATGAAGTAAATAAATAACTGCATTCACAGGTCTATTTTTTAAAAATCTGTTGGAAATATACTTAGRGAGGTTTTGGAAGAATGTGTATTTCCAAATAGCATCCCTAAAATTTTGAAGAGCATCCATTGTATAAGAATTTTTCTTCTCTCAGCTTAAACAAAAGGAGAAAAAATAATTTTGGAAAAGAAAAACATGTTCACATTTGTTTAATTATACATTTTGATTTCRAATTATGCATAATATTTGGTGACAGTTTGTTACCCACATATGGAAAAATTGTAAATCCAAAATACAATTTTTGTTGCACACTGTAAACTTTAACAAAATGCTTCCAGGCCCCACAGATTTCATGGCAAGTGGCAACTCAAGTAAACACTGGAATGCTCACAGAAGATTGAGCACAATATGATCTTTTCATGACCTTTAATGATTGGGATCTGTGTTTCCTGCTGCTACTTTGTGAAATTGGTCAAAACAAGTCATCCAGGCTGTAAGTTTGTTCTGTGCATCACTACTGAAAAACAATCCATTTGAGCAGTCATATCATCTGTAGTTCAGCTGATCTGGACTTCTCTTTCATATCTTATTATACACAGTTCATTGGATCCTCATATAATTTTAYAATATGATTTTTTTAAAGTAAAAATGAAAGATAAATACATAAAAAGCTAAAGATTCAGGTAAATAGCATTCACCCAAATTATAGTTTCTGTACAATGTCAATGAATGTTTTCCAGGTGAATTTTTTAACATTTTTTTTTAGTTGTAGTTGAACACAATATTTTTATTTATTTTTATGTGATGCTGAGGATCGAACCCAGTGCCTCACATGTGCGAGGTAAGTACTCTACMACTGAGCCCCATCCCCAGCCCCAGGTGGATAATTTTTGATGTCACATTTCAAGAAGTTAGATGACTTTGAAATCAGTTATTAACATGGTAACAGATTTTTTTAAAATTATGTTCTCAACTGAAGAAGAAATGATGTGAAAATTTCCTGTAATGATAGCACAACAGTAATAGATGATGATCAAATCCCAACTCAGTTTTTAATMCTGATTACAAAGCCTACAAAAGTTACACTTAACTATTAATTTTTCCTTCTGAATCCTATCTATAAGCCATAATTTTTCTTATTGCCTATCTATGTTCCATTGAGAACACAGGACCACCCTCACCATCAGCATCCTGCAACAAGGTTGTCTGTTGATAATCCATGAAGCAACAATCCACATCATTAGTCATCATCATTGATAAGCTTAACTCTGTCCTATTAATCCCTATGTAAAGAATCTCAATAATAAGGAAACAGGGTGCAGAGGCAGGGAAGGTGACAGAGTGGCTCCTTTGTCCAAGTGGTCACATTTATTTATATCAATAGGTTACATTAGGTTATTAGTACCATAACCACATTATTGTTTAAGGTATCAGTAAAGTTGCTTATTCTGCAGTTAAATTTCACAGTTACAATATGCAATGTTAGGAGCTGTATGCAGTTCTCAAGAAAGTCCATTGCCAGGCAGGCAGCTCCAGGAGCACCTGAGCTTGATGAAACATTGTAGTTACATAAAAAAACAAGTTCTTCTAATTCTCAGGAGCTATGTGCCTGCAATCAAGGTTGCAGCTTGATGAGGATCTAACACAGAGGCATCTCAGGGCATTGCCATACCAGCTAGACAAAGCACATAAATTAGCTATATTATTAGATCTTGAGAGAGATTACAGGGCATTCTAAGGGTGGGTAACAGGGAGTTTTCTCACCAGAGGAACACTTCCTTGTACATTTCCATGGTCAGAATCACTAMATTTCTACTTGTGTTCCCTACAGCCCTTTGCAAACCCCTGTTTTTTTTTAAAATGTCTCTATTGTTTTGTCTTTCCAAAATATGACATAGTTGAAATTATATAGTAAGTAGTCTTCTGAAATTCACTTTTTATTTAATGATATTTAAACTTTCTTCATATTTAGTGATGGTTTCATAGCTCTTCTTTCACTGATGATTATTATCCCATTGCATGTATTACTACAGTTTATTTCTACATTCATCCATTGAAGGACATCTGGGTTTCTTCCAAGTGTTTGCATTATAAATAAAACTGTTATGAATGCTGATATGTAGATTTTTGTGTAGATTTACAGTTTTAACTTATTTAGGAAAATAACAAGGAATAGTACTATTAGATAAGATGGTAAGAGTACATTCAGTTTTCAAGGAAACTGTTTAACTTTCTTCCAAAGTGGCTATGTCAGATTTGAAATTCCACCAGCAATAAATGAGAAGTCTTTTTGCTTTACATAATAACCAGTATTTGGTGTCATTAGTATATGGTACTTCCACCGCACAAATACATATTAGTGCATCTGGGTGTTTTAATTTGCAAATGTTTGCACAAAATGGTAAGCAACCTTTTTGTATAATTATTTAACATCCTTATATCTTCTTTGGTGAGGTTTGTGTTCAGGATTTTTGAACATTTTTGAATTCATGTTTTTTGTTGATATAGCATCTTTTCCTATTTATGATATTTTGATTTCTGTTTACATTGGGTAATGATTAACTCAGGATAATTAGCATATCCACCACCTTGACCTTTTATCATTTCTTTATGGGGAGTACATTTAAAATCTCCTAATTTGAGCTGCATAATGCATCATTGCTAATTATATTCACAGAATATATTATATTCAACAGAATACCACAACTCATTTCTTCTGTCTACTATCAGAGAGAACATTTAGTCTTTGGTGTTTGGGGATTGGCTTACTTCACTTAGCATAATATTCTCCCATTCCATCCATTTATCTGGAAATGCCATAATTTCATTCTCTTTAATGCTGAGTAATATTACATTGTGTATACATATTATAGTTTCTTTATCCATTCATCTATTGAGGGCATCTAGGTTGGTTTCACAGTTTAGCTATTGTGAATTGAGTTGCTATAAACATTGATTTGGCTGTATCACTATAGTATGCTTATTTTAAGTGGGTATAGACTGAGAAGTGGAATAGCTGGTTCAAATGATGGTTCCATTCCAAGTTTTCTAAGGAATCTTCATACTGCTTTYCAGAGTGGTTACACCAATTTGTAGTGGCACCAGCCGATTAACCAAACTTTCCTTCTCTTTTTTTTATCATTGTAGAGTTTTTAAGACATTGGGTATTTGGGGTCCTTTATCATATAGTTCTTTTCCTTATATGTTCTGCTAATATACCACTTGTCTTCTCAATCTTCTGACAGTGTCTTTTGCAGAGAAACTTTTGAATTTTAATGACGTCCAAGCTATTAATTTTTTCTATCATGCGTTTTACCATTTTTGTAACCAACATGTCATCATTATAGAAAGGCCATGCAAACGTTCCCCTATATTATCTTCTAAGAGTTTTATAGTTTTATATTTAAACTTAGATCTAATTAGAATTTTAAATTAAATCTATATTGATTTTAAATTTAATCCATTTGAGTTAATTTTTGTGAAAGATATGAGATCTGTGTCTAGATTCTTTTGTTTTCTCTTTTTTCCCCCCCTACATGTGGTTGTCCAATGTTCCAACA